CTATTAATCAACCAGAATTATTAGCTTGAAATTCTCTGTTAGGTAGAATAATATAATGACTTAAATAATCCAATAATAATTCAAGGAAATGACAAAAAAAGGAACTTTATAAAATAGAAAACATTCATCCTAAGTAACTTATATAATTTTATGTTAAAAAATTTTATATTAAAAATACAAATTAACCCTAATAATTTAATATCATCAAATAGAGTAAATATTGTATGATAAATAAATAGTTTATATGAATAATTTATATCGCTCTAATCTTCAAGTAAATATAATAATTTTTTTTCAAACTTATGTTGATATAATTTTCATTCTTTCCATCAATTTAAATATTGTATGATAAATAAATAGTTTATATGAATAATTTATATCACATTAATCTTAAAGTAAAAATAATAATTTTTTTCAAACTTATGTTGATATAATTTTCATTCTTTTCCATCAATTTAATGATGAAATATAGGATTAATCAGTTTATTTTGTAATCATAATCATTAAGACTTCATTTGTGATAGCTTTTTTTTTATATATAAAAGAAATTTTATTCCAAAAGAACACAAAAGATACATCATAAACCAACAAGCCACAAAACCGAGACAGTCAAAACAAAAAAAGTGATACAAAGGGTACACTCAAACAAGGAGAAGGCACAACGACCATTAGGCTCAGAAAAGGCTCAGACTATGAACCACTCCAAATTCGGGCATGAACCATTCAGAGGAGTGGAAGAGACAAAAACCACCAAAAGCCAACCAACTACCATCACCGCTAACAAGAATCACCACCTAAGGTTGCCAACTAGCCACGGATTGGAGCGATGAGCCCAATCCACATCATTGCCCAGAAACCACTAGCAAAATCTGCAAGGCCACCATAAAGCAGAACCAGAAAAGACAACAAGAGTCCGCAGATAAGGAGAAACAAGAATAACCAACGCAACAGCCAACACTCAATTATTTCCGACCACGTTTACCCCTCCCACAATAGGAAACAGATACAACAGAGCGATCCTTATGCAAAAACAAACTTAACAGCAGGTTCATCCTCCACACTAGCCTTCGAAGAGGAGTCGGACGACCATTGAAGCCATTCTAGTTGCAGCCTAACTACCTCCCCCGAATTTGTACCCACAAGATCAACCAAAGCCTTAGGAGATAACAAATTATCCGGGACCTCAACAAAACGACCAGTAACTTGGTCAATAGGCGTAACATGGGAAGCATCAGCTAAAGCGTCAACACTGGCAGAACCCATATTCAGGAGAGTCTTAACAGCAAGTTCAACACTGGCCAAGCCAATACCATATTCATCCACACAGTCAGGACAAAATTCATTAGGCTTGCTCAACGAATTTGAAAAATCCAAAGCCACACAAGGTCCAACAAACCCAGGCAAACAGGACGGGGCAGACACAGTACCCAAAAAAGGAAAGGAATTAACAACACAACCCAAACACCCACCTGCACTAGCACAATCCCGAGAGCCCAGAATAGTAGGCAAAACCCCACCCACCACACCCTCAGAAACGAGCATATTAGAAACAGCAACAACCTCACCAACAGAACCCAGACCAACCACAGGTGACGGGACAATATCACATACAGTAACTCGATTATGCACAGACTCAACATTCACACTGATATTATCTAAAAAACAGCCACCTGCATAATAACAACATCCTCCACTGAAGGTAAAGCAAGATCCTCATTAACCAACTGAGCCACAGGAAGCACACACAGAGAAGAAGCAGAATAAGGATATTTAACAAAAATAAATTGTTCAGACTCAATGAGAGAAAAAAAAAATAACCGGTTCAGGATTAATTAAATCCTTGTTATAAACCTTACACGGAACTGAAATATCAGCCACAGGACGACAATTACCAGAAGAATGCCCAAATTTCTTGCAAGAAGAACAAAAAGGAGGGAAATCCTCTAAAACCACTTGCTGAATATATCCAGACAACTCAGGGCCTAACCAGACCATATATGGATAAGATTTAGTAACATCCAATTCTACCAAGACATGTGCTAGGGACGGCCTGGAACCAATGGAGGTAGTGGTATCAATTTTAAGGGGTTTGCCAAAGATCAAACCCAAGCCGTGAAGAATGCGGGGAGAGAAGAGATGGGGGTGCAGTTGAGGGAAAGAAACCCAAATGGGGACAATCGACGACTCGACTTCGATATCCGTAAGGGGAAACCACTTGGTAAGCTTCATGTAACAGTTATAAACTAACTATGATCCATGGAAGAAAACCCGACAATAATCTAAATCATTTTTTAGCTTGATGAGGATATGTGTCTGGTCCAACAAAGTTACCGAAAATTCGCCATTCAACTTCAGATTAAAGAAAAATTATCGGATTGAGTCCAAGGATGGCCATTTAGAGGGGAAAAACCGACCAGAGAAAACTGGAAAGGCGTAGCTAACGCCAAAATTTCTTGTTCGGAGATTCAAAGAGAGGGAATACCACGAAAAAAAAACCCTAAGCTCTGGAAAATTAGAGACAGCTGACGAGCCCACAAGGACATCTAAAAATGAACGAGAAGAAGATGGACCCTTTAAAAAATTAGGGTCGCAGAGCTTCGGAGGCATGCCGACAAACGCCGAAAAAAAACAAAAAACAAACCAACAAAATCTAGGTCCATCTAAAGGGAGAGGAGAACTTCCTTGAAGGAACGAACGATGTTGGCACTGCACCATGGCAAGTGACCCCAGCCAAAGGAACAAGTCGGAAAGAGCTAGGGCAAGGCCCTAGCAGAGTGGACGAAAACCTGAGTGGGCCTTAAATATGAGAGCTAAGATTTAAAATCCATTTGTGATAGCTTTCTCACTGCTTTTTAAAATAATTTTCTAATAAAAAAGTTTTTAGAACTAAAAATTTTGCACTAGAAAGTTGTTTTAGAAAGCAGTAAGAAAGCTATCCCAAATAAAGCCTAAAATTCTTCTATTTGAAAATAAATAAATAAATAAATATATGGTTTAAGCATCATTTGAGATAGCTTTTAATCACTATTTTTTTATTATTTTTAACAAATTTTTATACAAAAAGACTATTGAATCAAATCGATCGGTACATAAGTTCATGATTTAAACAATTTAATTGTAAGTTCAAAATGATTTTTAAAATTGTTAACAAAACCACTCTCTATATTAAAACCCTAATAGCGAGCAAGATTTGGTAGATTAAGGAAGAAAAGCTTTAATAATGAGGCAGGTTTCCTGCTCGCACCTTAGATTAAGGAAAAAAGTTTTAATGATGAGGCAGGTTTCCTGCTTGCACCTTGGACGACAGCCTTGGCTTGTTTAGCAACCTTGGTGGTTGATTATCTACTATGTTTTGGTGGCCTTTTGCTTAGTTTTTGGTGGCTGTGTGTATTTGGTTCTGGCTGTTGCTTCTCTATCTCCAAGGATAATCCAAGCCTGACAACTAGGTGACGTATCTGAGTCTGGATGCATTTGGGGACTTTTATGTTTCCTTTTATTTCAGGTTGCTTTGCAATCTATCGTTAATGTAATTTTTTGTTTTCATTGTGTTTTTTCTTTTGTGTTGGCCTCTTTTTGGCCTTGCTTTGTAAGCTTTTTTCTTCTATTGAAATAAATAAAACCCTTTCCATATAATTATAATAATAATTACATTAGTCCGAGAGGGAGGGAGACCGAGAGAGTGAGAGAGAGAGAGGGAGAGAGAGAGAGAGAGAGAGAGAGAGACCCCTGTATGCCTTAGTCGGTCGTGAGACTTCCACTGAGTCTATCGAGGCAATCCCTCAGAAAGTCCAACCTATTCTTAGTCAGTTTGTTGATGTCTTCCCTGATGATCTTTCGATTCAGTTATCTCTACTTAGAGACATTCAACATGCCATAGATTTTGTCCCTGGAGCCTCTCTTCCTAGCCTGGCGCATTATTGCATGAACCCCACGCAACATGCTTAACTCAAGAAGTAGGTGGATGAGTTACTACAACAACGTTTTATCCAAGAAAGTCTTAGTCCTTGCGTATAATAATAATAATAAGAAAAAAAAACTTTAATACAGTCTTATCAAAAAATAAACCGTTCTCTTTTTGACCGTCAACACTAACAAATTGTGAAGGATCCATTTTAAAAGAGAAGTTATTTCTTGAAGAAAATAAATTCAAATTATTAATTATTAAAAAAACTTAACGAATTCATTAATTGTAAATTATACAAATCTTATATAAAAAACATTGAAATTATACAAAAAATTCTTATTACATGATTTAAAATATACTGAAAAGGAAAGATCTTTTAAACTTTAAAAATATAGTTCATTAATTTAATATATTACATTTTAATATTTATGAGAATTATTTTCTTACCTAGCTTATCTTTAATATTGCAAACATTAGATTTATCAAAAATTAATTTTTACATTTTTATTAGAAATTTATAATAATATTTTATTCCTAGATTATACATTAAAATTCCTGTAATAAACAAGAGTGTAAATATCATCTCACCTTTAATTATTCAATATTTCCCAAAAAAAAACACCTGACTACAATACTACATCAATTATCATTTAAAAAGCCTTTAATTGGGCTCATTAATTTCATTAAAAAAAAATAAAAAACATATTTTGAATTATCATAAGGTATATTAATCCATCATTTAGTCATTAATATTAAATTTAAAGTCTAAATTTTTTCCAAAAAATCATAAATTTATTTTCTCACATAAAATAAAATAAATCAACATTAAAAAAAAAACTTCCTATTCACAACCAGTCAAAAGAAAATCAATAAACACCAGCTGCCACTTCATACCATAAGTCTAGAAACACAGCCGTTATTCCTACCCATTTTCATCTTCCATTTTTTCTCTCAAACTCTTAATATCCTAATCCTCCTTTCTTCTCCATCTCCACACTCTATAAAACCCTCAAGCTGCCTCTACTTGACCACACAAACCATAAGCTTAATTTGAGACTTTCCAGTTCTACCCAAAGTTTTTCCAACGAGCTTGATCATGGCTTCTTCTTCTTCTCTATGTTCTTCATTAAGTTTCTTGCTTGTTTTATCTTTCATGGCCGGCTTTGCAAGTTTAGTAAACGCCGGAAACTTCGATCAGGATGTGGATATCAGTTGGGGTGATGGCCGTGGAAAAATTCTTAACAATGGCCAGCTTCTTTCTCTTTCGCTTGACAAAAGCTCTGGCTCTGGCTTCCAGTCTAAGAACGAGTATCTCTTTGGCAAGATTGATACGCAGATAAAGCTCGTCGCCGGCAACTCTGCCGGAACTGTCACCGCTTACTACGTATGCCTGTTTTCCTTAACTTATTTAGTAAATAATGGGGGCCAATACATGACCCAACCTGTTAACCTGACCTGTTAACCGACCGAACTCCACCTGAAAAAATTAGGTTCTGATTGATCCGTTTAATAAACGAGTGGGGTTTGTGTCATACAATCTGGTTTGTTTATTAAACAGGTCAGGTTTAGGTTGACCCTATAACCTGATTTTGACACATTTTTTTATTTATTGGTATAATTTTTTTTATTTTTTTCAATTAATTTAAAAATTAAAATTAATAAGCTAATAAAAATATTTTTCTAATTAAAATGAGTTATTGGGTCGAGTTCAGATTGCTAGCGGGTCGGATTTGAGTTTAACTTTTTGTCCCTTAGGTCAAAAGTGAGTTTATTGAATTCATGTTGGATCAATTTCTAGTAAAACCCAAATATGACTAGTTGACCTGTTTTGACACTCCTATTAAATATATAGTTAAGGGTTTGCTTGGATTTTTTTTTTGTCTTATTTATATTCTAATATAAAATAAAAATATGTTTGATATAAGTAAGTATTATTTTTATTAATTATTTAGTAATTTTGATTTTAAAAAAAGTTGGAAAAATCTAAAATTTATTTTGAATATTTTTAGAAATATAATGATTATTTTCAAAAAATAAGAAAATAGAAGTAACTATTTAAGAAAGTCATGGAGAATTAATAAGTTGTTTTGCTCATGCAGAATTTTCTTTTCCAGGATTTTAGAAAATTATAAATTAAAATGTGATATATGTTTTTCATCTTTTAAAGACAGGAAGAAAAGATAATTACAATAATTAATTTAAATTAAAATGAAAGTCATTTAGTTAACATGTAATTATCAAATTAAAATGAAATGTATAATCTATAATATAATTCAATTAGAATAAAAAGAAATTAAGAAACAGTCAGAGTCAAAGCGAATCAATTGTTGAATCATAAGTGCTAGAAAACTCAACTGTTTGGTGGCCTACTTGGAGAAGATAGTCGAAGGTAAGTTCAGCTGATCAAAGTTTTTTTAATTAGAGAAACAGAAATTAATTAGTTTTAAATTAATCTCTAAATAAATAAATTGACTAAAATAATTAGGAATTGATTGTATGTACAGTTAATTATTCTATTAATGAATTGTTTTAATTAAAATTTAATCAATTAGTCAATAAGATTATGTGTCTGGCTGAAAAATGAATGCATTTTATTTGAAAAGTTTTGGAATTATTTGAAAGAGTGCAGCTATTTTTTTTTATAATAAAATGAATACAATGTAAAATTTAATGATTTTTGTCAGCGTCTGAGAGGGCAGAAATCAATAGTGATGGTGGCGGCGAGAATTAGTCACGCTGCCAACAATTAGGCTAAGCCGAGGATTAGCCAAGCACTTTTTAATTTGAGAGTGACAGCAGGTGAATACCTGGTTCCAAAAAAAAAAAAAAATTTTGTGTGACTTCATCACTGTCTCATTACTAAGGATAATTTAATTTTGTTTGAGTGCAGTTGTCTTCCCAAGGACCAACTCATGACGAGGTCGATTTCGAGTTCCTCGGCAACCTCAGCGGCGACCCTTACATATTGCACACCAATCTGTTCTCCCAAGGCAAGGGCAACAGAGAGGTTCAGTTCTATCTCTGGTTTGATCCCACCAAAGACTTCCACACCTATTCCATCTTATGGAATCCAATCCACATTGTGTAAGCTTTCCTTACTTTACTTCATCCCCTAAACAAAGCGTAATCTTTTTTTACAATTTACACATACAAACATTTCAGATTCTATGTGGATGGGATCCCAATCAGAGAATTCAAGAATCTGGAAGCTACAAAGGGCGTGCCTTTCCCAAAGAACCAGCCTATGAAACTATATGCCAGTCTTTGGGATGCTGAGGATTGGGCGACAAGAGGAGGGCTAGTGAAGACAGATTGGACTCAGGCGCCTTTCGTTGCCTCTTTCAGGAGCTTCAATGCCGACGGATGCGTCGAAGGCGACGGCGGTTCGTCCTGTAACTCCAAGGGTTGGATGAACCAGGAGTTGGATGGTGAGAGCTTGAATAGGCTGAGATGGGTGCAGAAGAACTATATGGTTTACAATTACTGCAGTGATGTGAAGAGGTTTCCCCAGGGGCTTCCTACTGAATGTTCTGCTAGTAATTAAGTTGGTAAGTAAATGTTCTTTTGTGTGGAGGTTTCTGATTATTTGGTGTGTATTGTTGTGGAAGTGGTGCTTAATGAGATTTTTGCGTGGTGGTGTACTGAGAGGATGTATTGTGCATTTATGATAAATTAGATTGGTTGTATTCAGGGGCGGACCTGTGCTTATGTGATGGTGGGCAATTACCCACCCTCAAAATTTTAATAAAATTGTTTAAGTAAGGGTATTTAATTTATTTTTCCACCTGTAATCTTAATTTGCCCATCAAAAGGAGAAAAAGACCGCACAACGGTAAACATTTTTCGGTCCGTAGCTGCAAACGTTTACCAACTCGGCAACTCCTACCAGCCAAGTCCAACTCTAACGCAGGAAATATTTTTGAGTTCGAATGATTAAAGCCACAGCTACAAATCTCGTTTGGTCGTTCCCCAACGCCTGCAATCCGTGCCCAGCTCCAAGCCTCCAATTGCTTGCACTCTGAGTTATGATCTTGAGAAGGCCAGTAAAACCGGATTTGACATTTGACAACCCCATTTTCCTGTTTAGTATCCTATTTTGACTTGTAATAATTTTCAATTTATCTATTGTAGTAAAAAACAAAATTTTGTTTTGAATTACGTTCTCTTTTATTTTATTTTTAAATATTAGTTCATTTATATAAAAATTTTGCTCACCCTAAAGTGAAAAGCTGATTCCACCCCTAATTTTGTTTAAAAAGATTTGACTTGAAGGCTTGTAATTATTGTTATGTCATTGATTCTTTCAGAACTTTTGCCTTCTTCAACTCATGCAAAGAAGCCCAGAGATTGTTTGATTGAAGTATTTGGAAGGTAAAGTAAAATTAATCATATTCCATCTATTGATCTGAGGAGTCTCTGTAGAATGTATTAATCAGGAAAATCAATCTTATATTTGCATCTCAACCAGTAATTTCTAAAGAAAAGTTGAGCTTAGAGAAGTAGAGATCCAAATAAATGTCCACTATACCAAACCAATCAAAAGTATCCCCAAAATATTTAGAATTGTTGCAATCATATTATGTAAGCTAAGAGAAATACAACACTTAGAATAATTAGTCAAAAGAACAATAAAAAATCATCACACTTGAGAAAGTAGGTAAGAAGTCGGCAACCGACGGGGATTTAGCATCGACATGCTGGTAGACGAACAAGCATAACTCTGTTGCATTAAGCACAGATCAGATGATTATAGAAAAGAAAGTAAGAGATGGCAAAGTCATAAAATTTTGATAGCAATAAAAAAGATATTAACCAAATCAACATAAGCATTTCTAACCACAAACATTAGGAAACCAAAGTTCATCGGCACAGTCCTCAGGTAAACCATTATTCAACGAAACAGTTTCCTCCTCAGGATAAACGAAATCATCCCTATGATTAACAGCAATAGGAGTAATATCATTGCAATTATCCTAATTTGGAACCATTTTAGTGACAAGAACCAAAGTGGAATCCACAGTGTCCTTAACACCAGCAGTAGAAATCGATTTAGGCCTAATAAGTTTAAGGCTACCATATTCTTTTTTGTCTGGCCCAAAACTTTACATTGATCGCAAAAGGAAGGTAAAATTTCAAAATCACAGATTGAACATACCTCAAGCCATCAGGCCCGATCCACACAGAATTAGGAAAACGTTTTGTTATATTGAGTTCGACTAAAACACGAGAAACTGAAGGCCGAGAACTCACCGAGGTAGCATTGTCAATACGCAAAAGGCCGACAAAAAATCGTTTCTAGTCCATGAAGAAAGCAGGGAGTAAAGAGGTGAGGACGCATATTCAAGAAGGATACCCAAATAGGTATAATGGGTGATTCAATCGATAAACCTCAATCCAAAACAATTACTGCAGTGATGTGAAGAGGTTTCCCCAGGGGCTTCCTACTGAATGTTCTGCTAGTAATTAAGTTGGTAAGTAAATGTTCTTTTGTGTGGAGGTTTCTGATTATTTGGTGTGTATTGTTGTGGAAGTGGTGCTTAATGAGATTTTTGCGTGGTGGTGTACTGAGAGGATGTATTGTGCATTTATGATAAATTAGATTGGTTGTATAAGGGCGGACCTGTGCTTATGTGATGGTGGGCAATTACCCAACTTCAAAATTTTAATAAAATTGTTTAAGGATATTTAAGTTATTTTTCCACCTGTAATCTTAATTTGCCCATCAAAAGGAGAAAAAGACCGCACAACGGTAAGAATTTTTCAGTCGGTAGCTGCAAACGTTTACCAACTCCTACCACCCATGTCCAGCTCCAACGCAGGAAATATTTTTGAGTTCGAATGATTAAAGCCACAGCTACAAATTTTGTTTGGTTTTTCCCCAACGCCTGCAATCCGTGCCCACCTCCAAGCCTCCAATTGCTTGCAATCTGAGTTATGATCTTAAGAAAGTAAGTAAAATTGAGATTTAGCATGTGGCGATCCATTTTTATGTTTAGTATCCTAGTTTGACTTATAATAATTCAATTTATCTATCGTAATAAAATATAAAATTTTATTTTGAATTTATGTCCTCTTTTATTTTTTTAAATATTAATTTAATTTTGCTCACCCTAAAATGAAACGCTGATTCCACCCTTGATTTTATTCAAAAAGATTTGACCTGATGGCTGATTTGACCTGATGGCTAGTAATTATTGTTATGTCATTGATTCTTTCAAAACTTTTGCCTTCTTCAACTCGTGTAAAGAAGCCCACAGATTGTTTGATTGAAGTATTTGGAGGGTAAAGTAAAAGAAATATAGAGATTTTATTTTTTTAATTATTTGGATGAAAAAAAAAAAATCATGCACAATGTACTTTCATAGTAAATTTAGAATATCCTGAAATGCTCATTTTTTATGAATTTAGAAAGTGCCCAAATTTTATTGTTTACTACGACGAAATGATCTTATGACATAGGCTTCATTTGGAATATATATTTTAACTGTTTTTAAAATAGTTTTTTAGTTGAAAATTATTTTGAATTAAAAAATTTTATACTAAAAAGCTATTTTAAAAAATAGTAAGAAAATTATTCAAAAGCCAATAATCTTAATTGAGTGTTCTTGAATTCCTTCATTCGAGATGTAATTAACTGGAGGACATTCTTATAAGATGTTTTGATCCTTATAATTTAAAACAAACCTTATTTGAGTTTTGTTTAAGCTATTAATTAACACATTCAATAAAACTAATCATATTCCATATATTGATATGATCATGTACCAATTTTAGTGCATTTGTCTTTTTTTTATATCTATTTAAATGCCTCCATTGACAGAGATACTACATCCACTACCGAGCAGCTGACAATCTCATCGGAGTCCACATCGCGCTCAAAGCTTCAGACGGCGCCTGCTCCATCACTCCTGTAAAAGCATATCTTTATGTAACTGTCATGGGTACTTTCGTAATTAGCCATGGTAACGGTCGGCTTATTTAAAGACGTGTAATCTTGTCTCAAATCAACTAATGAAGATTACTGTTCATCTTCTTCTTCCTCGAGTTGCCTATGTCTACTCGGTATCCTGTTGAGTTTCACGACCTCTTCATGGTATCAGAGCTTTTCGCCTAACGGCTCTACCTCGCTATGGCAGATTCCTCTGCTTCTACTCCAAACACTCCACCAGCAGCCGTCGTAACGTCGGAAGCTATCACCACATCTCCAGATGTCGTGATTCCCCCCACTCTCAAATTTCTTCTAGCCAATATCAAGAACGTTATCAACGTTCAACTTCTACCTGAAAATTATCCGACATGGCGTTCGGCGATTCACAAGTTATTTGCAGCAAATAACTTTTCCGGCTACCTCGACGGAACCATCTTATCCCCACCAAAACATCTCCTTACTGCAACCGGCCAGCTAACGCTCAATCCCCAATATTCTACCTGGACCTTAATAGATCAGAATCTCTCCGTTGCTATGTTTTCCACTATTTCCCCTGCTATTCTTCCTTACATTCTCTCCTTGAAAACTTTAGAGCAAAGGTTCTTCTCTACCAACCGTTCAGGGTAATACAACTAAAAAATGAGCTACATTCACTCTCTATGCTCAACAAGACTATGACTGACTATCTTGCATCCATTAAAACTATCGTCGATAACATTCGCGCTGCCGGCGGTAATATAGACAATGAAGATATTCTTCATTACATTCTAAATGGACTGCCACCATCCTACCAGTCGTTCAAAACGACCATTCGGAGTTCCCTTCAGCCCATCTCCCTCGACGAGCTATACTCACTCCTTCGCAGCGAAGAAGTTCATCAGACCACTGATGCCGTTCGTGAACTATCATTCTCTAATGCCGCTCAAACTGACGGGCAACTGGCATTAGTGAACAACCGTGGTCGCTCTCGCGGCCGATCTTCCTACAATCGTGGTCGAGGTAGATTCCAATCCAACAATGCCGCAAGGTCTGCTCTCCGTTCTCCTCGGTTCGACGGTGACTGTCAAATCTGCGGTTAAAAGGGCCATTCAGCAGTAAACTGCTGGCATCGTGGCAACTTCAACTATACTTCTCCTTCCTCCAGCTCCAATGTGGCTCTGGTTACAGAATCCGAACCTGCTCCATGGTATTTAGACAGCGGGGCTTCCACTCACCTTACTCCAGACCCACTGCCTCTGCAACAATCAACACCATACACAGGACGTGATCAAGTCTTTGTTGGCAATGGGACATCTCTTCCCATTCAACACGTTGGCAACGGCATTCTTCCTACACCTACTCGTAAGCTCCACTTAAATAAACTGTTCCATGTTCCTCATCTAACCCATCGCCTTCTTTCTATTTCCAAATTAATAGCTGATAACAATTGTTCAATTACCTTTGATAAAACTGGCTTTTATGTCAAGGATATGAAGACCAATCAATCTCTACTCCAAGGACGCTCCCATAACGGTCTCTACCCCATTCCAGTTCAATCTCCCATTGTGGCTGCCTCTACCACCATCGCCTCTTCTAGACCCGCGCTCGTCTGGCATCGTCGTCTCGGCCATCCGAACATCAAGACGATCGCAGCATTATCTAAAGCTTTTCCATCGTTTTGTATTACGTCTATGAATTCTCTTTGTACTTCCTGTGCGCTCGCTAAGAGTCACAGATTACCTTTTTCCCCCTCTCACCATGTATCAAGCTCACCTTTGGACTTAT